TCCCATACAAACTGCAACCCCCCTTTTCACACTTTTTTATTAATTTAAATGTAAGATATCCTATCTTTCAAGTTGGATCAAACTGCACACGGTGTGCTTTGATTGATTTTAATCAAAGCACACCGTGTGCGGTTTAATAGTTTAGGAGTCCATCCCGGACAAAAATCGAGACGCGTTATTTATACATATTGAGATTATTGTGAGGAAGATATACAGAGTGTTACAGAATTCCGAAATAAAATTTGTAGGTATGTATACCGCAGGGGCGCCTGGAGCAGAGAGGGGGGTCTGTTTAGGTAGTAGTAATCGTACGCATTTATAGGGTTGTCATAGGCAGGTGTAAAACGATATTTTTATTAATTTAATTAGAAAATAAAAGTGGTCTGAAAGGCGTCAAACTTTCGTAGGTAATTCTATACAAGGAACACAACCAAACCCTAAAGTTTTATTTCGGACTTTTGTAACACCCTGTATATATATATCTTCCTCTCTTAATATACAAATATATATATATATATATATATATATTTATATATTAAGTGCTGGTAAAGTCCAGACGCGAAGTTAACTGGTGAGGCGGAATGAACTGCCAAATCAACCATCGTCACCTTGCCACTTGCACAAATGCTTCTTTACGTGTCCTTTAAGACCCCAGATTGGAGGTAGGAGAAAACACGTGCCCGGGCAAAGAACTTTGAACAATTGTACTTTGCTACGTTTGTTTGTAAATTCAATTTTCATTTTAAAATAACAGTCGAGATTTCTAGGATTTGTATAAATTATTTTACGGGATGAATATAAATAGATACGGAAATGAATGTGCTGCAATTGACATCTCACTTTTAAAATTTTGTGGACTTTACCAACTTTCATTTTTTAGCCCTGATATATATTATTATATTATACTACTTATAACGTGTGTCTTAATATCCTCGACAAATTACAGCTTAGTACTAAAACTCTGAGCTAATCTGTGGTCAGACGGGCGGATGTTAAGTTTTGGCTCGCAAAACGTTTCTTGTTCACTTCGGAACCCTAAAAGGAAGAATTATATGTATTTTTTACAGGATTTTTTTGATGTATTCCGTTTTACGCGTGCGTGCAATTTTCATTTATGTTTGTTATTGGAACTGCAGTTGCAGAGATATTCTGTAAGAACAAACTTACTTTTGACCGCGGAATTTGCTGATCCGAATTGAAATTTATTTGGAATTCGTATTTTTATCTTAAATCGCACAAGTGACAAGAGTTTGTTCTTATAGAACAGCACTGCTGATGGGAGATAAAAGTTTAGCCAATCCTTCTATTATAATATAGTATCTTACTATATTATGCGGTAAAATTTCCTTAAAAAATATATAGTAGGCGAAACTCCTATATTTTACTTATAACAGATATTTGCCAGTTGAAAGGGAGCGAAGGGCATTGTCTAAGAGGGCAAATATGTTGGCCCGTAGGTTTGCTCGATGTTCTGACACTGTAAAAATCACTCTTTTTAAGGCTTTTTGTACATCTTTCTACTCGAGCAGCCTATGGGTTAATTTTACCCGAAAATCAAATGATGTCCTCCGTGTCCAATGCAATAATGCCTTCAGGGCACTGCTGCGGCTGCCGCGATATTGTAGTGCTTCGGGAATGTTCGCAGATGCGCAGGTCGACAGTTTCCCGGCTATTTTGTGCAAAAAAGCAGGTTCATTGCTACGGCGGGTTCGTGGTAGCCGCAGTAGTATTGTGAGGGATTTAGTGGCTCGTGGGGACTGTCCACTGATAAATATTTTTGTAAATAGGGTTATATCTGTTTTTAATATAATTTACTAACATAGTATTAAGTATTGTATACTAACACATGGATCTATGTTGTCCGAATAATAAATGATTTGAATTTGAATTTGAAATGTTTTCATAAAAAAAAACCTTAATTATTAAGGCATAGAGCAGCAAAAAACACTTATTTCAAAAATAAGTCGATATTTTAACCCACATACTATATTTTTTTAGATTTTTAGGGTTTCGTACCTCAAAAGGAAAAAACGGAACTCTTATAGGATCTCTTTGTTGTCCGTCCGTTCGTCCGTCCGACTATCAATACCGTTTTTCTCAGGAACGCGAGGAGGTATCAAACTGAAATTTATATCTAATACCCATGTCAACTCTCCCTTAGAGCTGTGAAAAAATCAAACTTCTAAGCCAAAGCAATCAAAAGATACAATATACCGATAAAGATATGCCGTATATGCCGCAAATTTTCGAAACTCGCACGGGAATCAAAACCTACAGGGTACTTCCCGTATCTTAGAATCTTGAAATTTGGTACGAAGTAACGTCTTATAGTACAGATAAAGGAAAAATTGCGAAAACAGTAAATTTTTAGTTACATCATATAATAAAAAATATTTTTGAAAATTTTAAAGTTATTGCCCTTTTCTCATGAACGCGTAGAGGTATTAAATCGAGTTTGTACGGAACCCTCGGTGCGCGAGTCCGACTCGCACTTGGCCGGTTTTTTTTAAAAGATAACAGCTTCGAAAATACTGTATTTGATAGAAAATAAGTTGTTAACCCAACACTCCTCACAACTGTCAGTTGTTTCGTAGCGTATTGTGCGTAGTTGTGTACTTATATTCATGTTTGAACGTAGTGTAGGACGTCCTCAGGCACGGTGAAGTGACGATTTGCGCAAGGTGGCTGGCAGGAGCTGGAAGCGAGTAACCCAAGATCGATCACAGTGGCGTGCAATAGGGGAGGCCTATGTCCAGCAGATGTATGTCGTATGTCCAAAGATGTAATCCAACAGAGAACCAAAGTCACCGACATAGCCTAACGAATTAGCAAATTGAAGTGGCAGTGGGCTGGTCACATTAGCCGCAGAACTGACGGCCGTTGGAGCCGGAAAGTTCTTGAGTGGAGACCACGACTCGGTAAATGTAGTGTAGGATGCCCTGAGACAAGATAGGATGATGACATTCGTAGGCTGGCTGGAGTGGGCTGGATGAGTCCAGCCCACTCCAAGAGGAGCAGAAAATGAAGAGCAGTGGCGTGCATTAAGGGAGACTTAAGTCCAGCAGTGGACGAGCATGGCTTGATGATGATGATGATGATGTCCAGCAGTGAACTGAGGCAGTTGGTGATGATGACGATTCATGTTTATTTTGAACTTCCCTCGAACTCAGAACTCCACGACGCTCACGTGTCTTTCGATAATTTGAATCATTTTATCCATGATTTGATAAAGTTTTCATTACTTTAGTTAGTTTTTATTTATTTTATATTAATATAAATTAGTTTATTTGTTAATATTGTATATATATGCATTGTATGTTTATGTATGTATTGCATATGTATTATGTTATTTTTATTCAGGAGCACACACTGACTACCTTTTTCTATGTTCTTTCCTTTCGCGGGCCTGCTGAAAGAAATTTCATTGTGAAATTAGCAGTACCCTTGTACATGACTCTTGTTTCTCTTTTTTCTAATATTTTATTGTGTGTGTAAAAAATAAATAAATAAAAAAAATATTATAAAAATGATTGACGTGAGAAAAAGAAGTAGAAAGTAAGGTATTTGTATGCGATCCGATAAGACAGTACTCGTACATACTAGTTAATATTTTAACGATATTTTTATAATTACATACACACGACAAAGACTCATAAATAAATTTATCTACATTAAAAATTGTAGTTAATCAAGAACTTGCTTTGTAGCAAGGAAAAATTCTACTTATATGTAACTGCTCTAGTTATTAAAATCGAAATTTTGTTTATTGCATTAAAAATGTATTAAAGACGATTAAGAAATGCGATAATTTAGCATTGCCACAACCGTCCTCTATATTTATAACCCCCATTTTTCATCCAAATTTAACCCCTTATGGCTATTACTAATACTTATAACAATGTTTGTCTATGTTTTATTTTTAAATTTCGTCGAAAGAGCTTGTGTCAGACTTGTGGACCGACAGTGAAAATTCTTGACGAAGTCTGTAGAATAGCAAGAATTTTTATTGTAGGTCCAGCAGAAATCTTTAAGGAACTCATTTTCTTTAAAAATGTGTAATACATGATACAATAACTATACTATATACTCAAGGGATTTCCATATGGAACGACCTGCGCTCTCCGTATCCAGTGGGTCCACTGGTTTATTTTATTGATTTATAGATTAATGTATTGATTCTTTTATGATTATGATTTTATTGAGTTTAAAATGTAATGATAACAAAATTTCGTATGCTGTTGAGCATGTCATGGAGGCACATTTATATAATTTTTAACAACTTATTGTTACCGATGACAACGAATAAATGATTTGATTGATTGATTGGTGGGTCCTATTTAACTATACTCCTATGTAATATTATTGATCAATGGTCTCACGGAGATAATATCGAGTCGAAGTTAAGCATTGTTCGCGTTAATTACAATCTTCTCGCCATATGTAGGTAATTGTTATTTCATAATTTCATGACTCACATGTACCGATCGAGTGAAAAATGTGAAGAATTTTATCAGTGCATTTTCTAAGCTATATTTGTTGTACACAATGATGGCATACATATTGTTGCAGGTTGGAAGAAATTTATTGTTATCGACTAAACTTTATTTATTCAAGTTTTTATAGCTTGCGATACTCAAGATTACTAACTGGCGTACTTAACTGCTTAAAAATATTTTTAGGAAAAAGTGATCTAAACTATATAAGAAATAATGCTCCCAATTTTAAATACGTCAAAAATCCATTTTCAGTTACTATTGTACAGTCGGAAATCTCCATATTTAAGTTAGTAATCAAAACTTTTTGTTTAACCTAAACAAAATTCCCATCTACTGTTGCTATTAACCTTGCATCTGCATACATTTTGTGGAGCAAAATATATTGTGTACGAGGAATAAATAATCATTTACTTTTTAAAATACACCAGCATTACACAATACATTACATATTATACAATAAAGATTTCCTGTCTTGAATTCTGATTTAAATCATGTGTAAATTACCTTTTATTTACATACGCTGTCAATGAATGTTCACGCAATAAAATACTATCGAAACACACACATTCACACACAGTTAGAGCTTTCACTTGTGCAATAAATTGTACCTTAGAAGTTTTTTTTATAAAGAAATAAAAAAAAAATCCACTTCCTAAACCTTAAAAAAGTTTGTAACGCAAATCGAAACGAATTATTAAAAATAAAACTGTCAAATAAACTCGATATTTTTGAATTATTCACGTTCGATTTTTAAAACACACGTCCGCGTATTTTAGTTCGACGGGTGTGGGAACGAGTGCGTACGCGCGTGCTGTCACACCGAACTTCGCCCATTCACTAAACTCTAGAGTACTCTCCGGTTCATTATAACTGGTGAATTTTGTAAATAAACAACATAACAAAAAAACTCCTCGATCTCCCGTTTTTTTTACACACGCGCCTAAGCCATAGTTGTGCCCCTTATTGAAAGCGAAAGGGTTTTGTGTAAAAAACAGAAACGGCTTAGATTCTAGCACTTACATACAATGACAGTGACTTTGTAATTTAATAATAACGCTTACCATTAGGTGTAATTAAATAAATTTATTGTGGTATTACATTTACTTAGAATATGAACAGAAACGTAATTTTTAACAAGAAAAAATCAACTGATAAAAAATTAAATGAGGCTGTTTTTTTAGGAATATTTTCTATATGTATTAAAATCTTACAGTTTTATGCTTCAATATAAATAATAACAGCATTTGTACATTTTATAATCTTCTTATTGTAATGTTAAGATAGGATAGGTCTGTGATATCTCTTACGAAGTCTGTTGATAGCGGGTTATTTATTAGTTAATAATCCCCAAAATCTCAGTATAATTACTTAGGTAATTAATCTCGGTAATAAAAAAAAGAATAAAAGAAGATTTTCGATGCTGATTGGCGAAAAGAAATTCATAAGAATACCTAATTAAATGTAATCTCAGTATAATTACCTAAGTAATAAGGTAATTATACTGAGATTTTGAGACGTCCTAGCTGTAGTATTCTATTTTATTTTCGTAAAGGCTGGCTGTCGTTTGCCTGGACAATTCTTGCCAATGTCAGGGTTAGCTGTAGTAAGGTTAAACGAAATATAAAATTCTTTAATTTCTACTAGTAGAACTGAATAGAAAAAAGTCGTTATGTCCTACAATAATAGAAATTAACGGGGAAAAAGGTCTTGAAGTTCGTGTAGTTTAACGATGCGTTCTACTAACTGACAGCAATAAAAGGTAATAAATTCATCAGTACTTGTGTGTTTTTGAGGGACGTTTAGTAATTATGTGGAAGAATGGCATTTGTAGCTGAATAATAATTGAGGAGCTGGCGAACAAAACGGTATAATTACGCATATCATCATCATCATCAGCCTATTGATGTCCCCACTGCTGGGGCACAGGCCTTCCCTATGGATGAAATAGGGAGATAGGGCCATGACCCACCACGGGGGCCCAATGTGGATTGGTGGGTGCTAACGGCTGCAGATGAAGCCGGAACCAACGGCTTAAAGTGCCTTCCGAAACACGGAGGAGCTCGAGATAGAGGATTTTTGGTCACCCATCCAATGACCGACCACTACGAAAGTTGCTTAACTTCAACGACCGCAGCCGAACGCGCTAACCACTTGCGCCATCGAGCTCCATACAGCAACAGCAGAAGTACAGCTCAGGTCAATACATACAGCAGATTATAGGACTAAGCGGATTGTTTTCGTCGTTTAGTCCTACAAGTAGAACTATACGGATACAATTGGTCATCATGACCTTATCTCCCTACTCCATCCGTAGGGAAGGCCTGTGCCCCAACAGTGGGGAAAGGGACAATAATATGCTGAAGGTGAAGAAGATGATTTCGCTTTAAGTCTATATATATAATTAAATGGAAGAAAAGATAAACTGTACATTGAATATTTTTTTAAAAGAATACTTAGGTGTGATCCACAATCGATACCGAAGCCAAAAATAAAGCTTTTAGAATTTTTGTCTGCTTTTCTATATGTATGTCCGGGATAAACTCAAAAAGTACTGCATGGATTTACTTCAAATTTGGTACGAATATTATTAAGAAGTCGGGTCAACATATAGGCTACATATTATCATGCTATCACCTTCGGGGAACGAGCTGTGAACCTTTATTTATAACTCCACGCGTACGAAGGCGCGGGCGGCCGCTAGTAGATAATAGAAATATAAAACTACAAATCTGTGAAAATTTCAGCTATCTACAGCCTCCTGACAGATGGATGGACGGAAATCTATCTTCATTGAGATCCGCTTTGCCAATTAACTTAAGAGTGTTTTTATGTAAGTTTGTTTCAAAACTAGATTTGAGTTTGTTGTATTTAACTCGTAAACTATACCCCTAGCACGAACCATTATCGAATTCGAATAGTTTGCAAACCGAAATGTCAATGTCAAATTTTGTATGGAAACTTGAACAGCAGCGGCACAAAGTACGTAACGAGAACTAAAAATCAGTACACATTTGACAATGACATTTCGGACTCGCAAACGTTACGAATTCGATATTGGTTCGTGCTAACGGTACTGTTGTTCACTTATTAGATTTTATTTGTTGTGAACCGTCAAAACCGGAGCAGAGAGGCAGCCTACCCACCTAGCGTCTTCTGCTTTGCTATGTTTGTGCCGTAGTAGAAGGCGGGTGGGATATAAAGAGAACATACGAAAGAAGTGGGTTCCCCCATCCGCCAGAGAAAGGAGGAAGGGGAAAAGATCGGAAGGAAGAGAGGTGTGGCAAATGAAGAATGATAATATTTGGTGTGGGGACTGATGGCTCGAGTCCACGCAGCACTTATTTTAGGTGTCGTGTGAGGCGGGTCGTTACGTTTCTTAAAATATGGTTGAGCGAAGCGATGGCTGGTTCATGCGTCATGCTCGTGAACGGGTGCTGCCAGCGGAGATGAGTCTGCCCTAACTACTTTGATATTTAAGATGTAAATGTTTAATTACACCTATTATAAATAACTCTATTGGTATTTATACTGTAACACAGCAATCAAAATGCAGGTGAACAATTTATGTATAACTAGCGGCCCGCTCTCGCTTCGCTTCGGTGTAGAGCTGAAGTGTAGACTACAGTTTTTTTTCTCAGGCTTGTATTATACACATTCATCTATGATTCTTCTTATACCTGCATGCAAAGTCTCAGCCCGATCGGTTTAAAATTGACAAAGTTTCATACAAACTTTCATTCCCTATTTTATCCCCTTGGGGGTAGAATTGATCAAAATCCTTTCTTAGCGGAAGCCTACGTCATAACATCTATCTGCATGCCAAATTTTAGCCCGATCCGTCTAGTGATTTGGGCTGTGCGTTGATAGATCACTATGTCAGTCAGTCACCTTTGAGTTTTATATATATACACACATCAAAAGTGTCTAGGGATCAAGCATTTTTATGCGGATTTCTTGAGATTGAGATGTGGCTTTGTAATAAATTTATGATTTTATAAATTTATATGGATCCTTTTTGGTGCATTTCATAATTTGAATCAGGAACTGTGAATCAAATTCGAGTAAAAGATGAAAATCAGCTGTCAATATTTTCCCTATAAAAACATACAACGCATTGAAGACATTATTAGTGCTACTGTTTCCCTACTACTGATTAAAACCAACGTTATTATGGAGCGGCGACGTCATTTAAGCAGGGAAGAAATGCTCAGAGCCGTGGGAATGATAGAAGCTGGTTCCCGGCAACGTACTGTGGCTTTAGCTCTGAATACAAGTCAGAGTGTTATCAGTCGACTTTGGACACGATACCGAAGCACTGGTACCGTGGCTGAGCGCCATGGAGGACGGTATCGCTGCACCACACGGAGACAAGACCGATACATTCAAATCTTAACTCGAAGAGCTCCAACAATAACCGCCATGATGTTAGCCGTGAGGCTTCATCACTCTTCAGGGAACTTAATTAGCGACCAAACAGTCAGAAACCGCTTGCATGAAGTGAACCTTCATTCCCGAAGACCGCTACGGGTACCACCTATAGCAATGCACAATCGTAGGATTCGATATCAATGGGCTCTTGAACACAGAAATTGGGCAGAAGAACAATGGCGTTTCGTGTGCTTTTCTGATGAGTCTCGTTTTGGTATGAGACCGGATACAAGACGTATACGACACTGGAGAACCCCTGGACGCCAACAGCGATTAAAATCCTGCCAGGAAGTCCATCCTTATAGTGGTGGAACCATCATGGTATGGGCGGGTATTTGGATCGGCGGAAGAACTGAGTTGATTTGGATCAGAGGCAACCTCAACGCTCAAATTTATGCTGAGACGATTGTATCAGACGTCATCGTTCCTCTACAAGTGCAAATCGGTCCCTTATTTCAGTTAATGCATGATAATGCACGACCGCACACCGCAAGAGTTGTAAGACAGACTCTCGCCGCAGCTAACATCAATGTCCTGCCCTGGCCTGCTCAGTCGCCAGACTTGAACCCGATTGAGCATGCATGGGATATGCTACAGAGAAGAGCTCTGCCGAATATGGAGGGTATCCAGTCGCAAGAAGACCTTTTTTTGTTGTTGCAACGAACATGGGCGGCCATTCCACAGCGTGATTTGGATGAACTCATTTTGAGTATGCCAAACCGATGTTCTTGTGTTGTTAGTGTTCGCGGTAGAAATACGGATTATTAATTGTTTAAGTTACCCAATAAAATTTTAGAGAAAACTGTTATTTCAGTCTTTTTTTCGAACTTTTGTGTTAGTGGTTCAAATGTCGAAAATCCCTTTATTAGGAAAATGGCAAATTTCTTTATTAATGCAAAGGTGACTTGGTTTATCGTTACTGTGACAAACGAAAACACTTTATTTGATGAATCCTTAAAGAAAATTTTAATTAATATCAATCAGGAGAAAAGTTATTGCAAAAATATATGTTGATCCCTAGACACTTTTGATGTGTGTAGATAGATTTCACATTATGTATTGAAAGGTGACTTCATGAATCATCTCTGAAGTCATTTTTCAACTTGACGACTCTGTAAATGATAATACAGGGAGAAAAAAACAGCCCTTGCTCAGTTTCTTGCCGGTTCTTCTCAGTACTAGGTCTCCTGCCGTAGATTTACGAACCGATGCCGTAGCTTCTAGACATTTATATGTGCTTGTAACAGCCTAAACTGAATAAATGATTTGGATTATGATTGATTATGATTATAATTACTGTTCAAGGAGACAAAAATATAAAAGCAACGTTTAACAGCATTAAATACAAAAGAATTAAGTCGATGGGTACTCGTATGTATTGCATGTTTTTTTGTTAAAAGGATTAATG